CCCTGCTTTTGCCTTTTAAGTCCTATTCAGAATGACCATTTGATTTCATACAGTCACTCTCAGCCACAGTCTAATTGGTCACTAAATCAATCATGTACAATGCCAAGTAGTTGTACTTAATAACATTTTATCCTGTTATTCCAATGCATTAATAGTTGTAGGTACTAGTGCCTTGCAGATTAAGACTTAGAACACCATCAGTATATAAATATAAAGTGCCTAACAGTATGTCATTAGTTCCCCAACAGACTAAAAGATGGACGACATGAAAGGTAATCCAATCGAAGCCCAAAATGCAATTGTACTTTTAGTTCAACTTTGAAGGCTAGAATCTGCTTGTGCGACAAAAGCCTGGTACCATTACTTTTACTCAATGACCTGAAGACCTTCCAGAGGTCCAAACTTACCAACTTTACCGTGAGAACCAAATTGTCTTTCAATTGCATTTGGATAAAACAGAAAAGCAGCCATTTCCCCACACAAGAGGCCAATCAAAACAGTGAAACTTATCAAAATGATTGTTTCATTTCAACTCTAGGTGAAAACCTGAGCTCAACTTCCACAAACCAGAAGCAAAATAGCTGGGCAGGAGAGGACAAACATGAAGAGTTCCTGTCAAGCAACATGAAGTGCATCATTCTAAACTCAAACTATGGTAAGAATCTAGCTCTAAAGATGAGCCCGACAGTCAAACTCCAAAATCCCTCCCATATTTAAATGTTTCATCCATTTCTTGCTGTTAAGTGTGCCTCCTCTAAACCATTCAGACTCATTACACAGAAAGAAGTGACTTCCTTGGATCAAATACTGTGCACACAAAGGAGCTTTCATTTAAACCAGCTACAGAGTAAGTAGTGAAATAACTTGAGCCTTGCTGTGATGAAACATGCTGCAGGCAGAAGCACACACTTTAGAAAAAAACACATTAGTCCTTACTGCTTCTGAGAGCATGCTGCGTTACCTGCGGCTCCTTTGAAAAGTCTTGAATGATAGGCTTCACCCTTGTGAGGTGGACTGCCGTGCTGCTGGCACGCTTTTTGTCGAGACAAACTGAATACATTGCTTTTGAAGAGCGACGAGGGCCGGGCAGGGACTGGGGCTTGGAATTCTAAAAAGACATGCTCAGAATGTGTGATGAAACTTTCAGCACCATGGACAGCAGCCCTCCAGGAGCCTGACGCCGACTGGAAAGAGAAGACGGAGTAAAGCAAGAGGCCACTGGATAATCAAGCAAAAACATCATGTTCCCCTCCCCCTGCATTTCAGCTAGCCCCATGCCCAAAGTGGCAGCCCTCACCCCAAGACACACGCACATACTCCTGCAGCAAGACACAGCTTTTCCCTGGTCTCTGTGTCTTAAGCTGAATAATGCAGGACCTCTACCCAGAACTAAAGCATGAGTGGATAATCTGGCCACAAGGACAGGCTGCCCCATCATTTCCCTTTACTTTCTTATTTATCTACCGGCCGTAGGAGCTGGGGAGGGTGAGGGGAATATGTGCATGGCTAACAACATGCTGGCCAAGCAGATGATTTGCTTTCAGAAGGATCACAGATATATAGCAAGGGTTTAAGAGGAAAAGTTTGTTTTGTCAAACTAGAGCTGTGGTTCAAATGCTGTTGTGTTTTCACCTGAACCAAAAGGAAACGTTTAGCACATTACTTTTATGAACAAAATCCAGTTATGAACACAACTAAAATCTACAAGGCCAGGTCAGTGTTTCATTGTGAATTAACAGTGTTATGTCTGCAAAAGCACAACACTCAACTGCTGAGCCAAAAACCCAGTCTGCAATAACAGGCTTAACTGTTGCACATTTAAAGTGCCATTCACAGTGACTTTGCAATTCTCAATCATGTTTCTTCGGCTTTTGTTTCCTGGGCCTAAATAACTGTTACAATACGACTCTTACCACAGCCATTTGCAAGCTCTGCTTTAAAGAGCCTAAGCCTCTTTAATTTGTGATTACTTGTAATTCAAAATGGTAGCCCACTAAGCCACAGGAGATTTATTGTTTAAATGTCCTCCTCCGCTCTGTTGCAACCTGGATACTGATAACAGAGAAATAAATATCCTGGATATATATCCTCAGCTCTCACGGTGGCATTCAAGGAAATTACCATAAAAATCACTGTACAAATATTTTGGCATCAATCATTGAGCATAAATTGCTAAGTAGCTGGGAGCCCTCTTAGCATTCATAGGGAATGATTTCATTGGCATTCTTGTGGCAGATGACTTCAGCCTCACACAAATTAGAATGTGAGAATTAAGGGGGATTTCATACAGCACGATAAGTGTGTTTTAAAGGCAGAACTGATTAAGCTTCATGGGAAGAGGGAGGAACTGGCTAATTATCTCCGAACAGACACCACCGCTGCTCTGCTGAGTGAGAGCAGGTCCGACGCTTCTGGAGCATCAGTGACAAACTCAGTCCACCCAAAGTTTGCATCACCTGGTTCTAAACACCAACCTGGCAACATACGGGTCTCAGGGCACAGATATCTCAGGGAGCCTGTGTTTTGATGAAAAACGCCAGTCAGCGCGCGTAACGCTGATCATGACGCACGTCCGTTACTTAAAAAAAAAAAGCCAAGTTTGTGTTTGCTTCCGATTTATTGATAGGCTTCCTGGAATAAGAATTATTGTCTATAGGTTAATTCATTATTGATTCCGAGGGCAGGATGTCTGAGCCCTGGCTGAGAGCTCTGGAAGGCAACCCTTCGGAAAAGTAGTTTGGAGACACCGGGGCGCTTACTCGGCCACTTCTCCATTTAATTCGAGCTGTGGTTTCAGGCAGCAGAAGTTTGACAGATCCTGCTGCAGCAGCCCCCTGCGGTGCATCAATTCCATGACAGCTCAGTTTGTGAAGTTACCTGGCCTCACCTGACTCACTCCAACCCCACTTACACCGTATGAGGCTGTTAGTAAACCAATGCATTCGCAGTGCAGCCACCGGGCTGATTATTGCGCAGAGTGATACCGCCGTGCCGGAGACAGTCGCGTCCTACCTGCTCGTAGCAGTTCTCCCAGGTGAGGTTCAGGAGGCAGGAAGAGAATAGCTCATCTTCGGTCCGTGCATAACCGTCCATGATGCGCGTGCCAGCCGTTTGCGGAGTTTTTGAGTTATAACGGAGATATTGTGCCTTTTAGACAAGTGTTCCCTCGACGAGCGTCTCGTCTCCTCGGCGTCTCTCTCTTCCTGACCCGCTCTTGTCTTTCGCGTCCGGCGCCGTGGAGGTTATCAAATGAGCAGCAGCGGTTTGCTGCCTGCTGCTTCCCACTGTCACGTGAACGCCTTCTTCCAAAAAACTGTCAGGTGGTCACCAAAGTGGGGTCCGCGGACCGCCTGTTATTGTCAAGCCAGGGTCAATAAGCGCCTGCACCATGACCACAATAGTTAAATAACATGACATTAAAAGTCCTGTTGATGTTATTGTCTCTCGGCGCCTGAAGTTCTGGTCCTCATCAACAAAATGAGCTGGTTTGATTGGGTTAATTAAATTCACCAGGTGGCCCACCTGCACTTAGCGCATGCTCAGTGGCTGTAGCTGCGCAGGGTTAGTCTGAGACCACTCCCTCTTTCTCTCATTCACCACAATCTTAACACTCACTAGTTTACCCCCACACTGCACTGTAACAATGCACCAAAACATGCTGGAGTTGGGTTTCCATCTGCGAATTTTCAAAAAAAGATTTTAGGGTATTGGCTGGAGTGGGAAAAGTATCATCAACATAAGCACAATGGAAACAAACTAAGTGAATTCTTCTTCTGTGTTTTGGCACTTTAGACGTTACTAGGCCCTTTGCTCTCATGATCATTGACTTAGTCTGCACCTTTTCCTATATGTGAAGTCAAAAGGTCTGCACCAAAAGGCACAACTCTGTCCAAAACATCGAACTAACTAAAACATCTCGACTGAACTCTTCACTGATATGTTTTGTACAGACTAACTAACACAACCTGAATATACATTACTGGATTAATATTTATTTAAGGCCTTATTGATCCATGGCATGCCCACACTCATGGGCATGTGCACTGTGTTTGACACTTCTCTCATTCTCCTGTACGTTTCTACCAGCTACTACTGGGCATTTTACACCATTATTCATACTAGTCGTCCCCAGAGACCGGTGACATTGAAAAATTCCACATGCTTCAGTGTTTGTGAACGTCTAATAACCTGATGAGCGTGCGTAGGGCATTTAATTGAGATGAAATATGGAAATAAAAGTTAAAATGTTAAACCTATAATTGTTTCAATGAGCATGTGAAACCTTCACTTCTTGAAACCTACTTTTAGAATCAAATTTAGAATAAATTGGTCCTGTTCTCACTTTAATTTCTTACATGAAATGACAGGTAGAGGAAAATTCTAACAGCCAACTCCAGCAGACACTCGCAGCCAAATTTGCATCAGGTTATTGCCAAATCAGGTGCCACAGGTTTAGAGACGTACAAGGCATAGCAAATGAATCAGTTACTAATGGACACAATATCATATGCAATAATAATTCTGACATCTTCATCATGCAACACTCCCATATCATTTTGTTGTCAGCTGACCTCGTTTGTGTTCAGGATGCAGTTTTGTGCCATGGAACATCAGAAAGTGCTTCCCAGCTGTTTCCTTTTGTGTTTTAAGAAACTAATTAACCACTGCACCAGTGAGAAAGGACTATGACTTCAGAAAACGGCAGAATAGAAGAAGAAACTATGTAGAAAAAGACAAAACTGGGCTTAAGTACAGTATCAGATTGAAATAGCCCAATTTTCAAATTCACATCTGGGTCAGATCACCTAAAATATTGCTTGATGATTTTCATATGATGTACCAGTTAATGGGTAAATACAGAACAGTTAGCAGATATTTTAAAAGTTCAGATGCACCTGGTTTTACATTTTAAAAGGTAAAAACAATGTTTAATGGAGAACTCAAAGCACATCCAGTAGCTGCTAAATGATTCACACCAAACTCTTCAAGCTTTATTAACTCGCTCAATTTATACAGTCTGGCAAAAGGCTGACATAAAATTACTCTTATATTACTGTAATTCCATTAGAGTATCTTGCATGTCAAAATTGTTCATGCGCCACTGAAAATCTTGCTGAATGTGGATCACTGGCTTCCTCGGAGCCGTGCAGTACGTCCACAGTATGCAACGCGGGGTCAGGAACGTCCTTGTACATAAACCTACAAAAGCATAACATTATAGACACTTCACTTGTAATGACGGGGCTCATGCATGACAGAGATTAGTCTAGGCTGAAGGCATCCAGTACATGTAAACATTAAAGCCAATGAAAGTTTATTTTTTACAGATGGTGTTTGGTTACATTTCATTATTCTATTGGTCATACACACTATGACACAGTTGCGAGTTCAATCAAGCTCATTATGATGGATCAAAACAAAAAGTCGGCCTGATTAAAGTTCAATTTTAGTTTTATACCAAGACAATATACTGTATCAACCATTTGAATATTGTAAATCTTTGAAGAAAACCTTCTTCCTTCACAACAAAGCCAGTAATAGTGTTCTGTCCAACTTGTGCAGCCATGCTGAGCAATGAAAATCTTTTCACTCCCCTACAATCCACAAGGAGGGCTGCTAGCACAGCTCATTTGGAGAGCTGTCTTTTAGCACGCCATTTATCATGACAGGAGAGCCATGCAGTCAGACTGGCCTTTTGCTCATCAGTTTTCTTTGCTGGCCTCCTTGTTTGATCAGAGGCGTTTGCCACGCATGAGCTGTACCAGCTTGAAGTTTGGTCAATTGGTACAGCGCTGTGCATTTTCTTTTCCTGCAGAAACTCTTCAGAATTCACTGCAGTAATGAGAGTATAGAAAGAGAAAATGACACTGTTCCTATATTTCATCAAGCCAGTTCTCATGAGGCTTGTTAGCAATGTCACGACTGCAAATTGTGGAATAAAAAAAAACATTTATTGCCTTAGAATAGCCATAACTGCAAATCTGCAAGGTGATTTTATACCTTTTGGTTATTGTGTAGCATATTTTAAAGAAAATATATTATCGGTGAGAATAAATGTGTGAAACCTACTCAGTTTTGAAAGAAAGCCAGCCCTGATCTGGTGGAGAAACAGACTGATGCAAGCAAAAGTAAGAGCAGTTTGTTCGTCAGTCTTAACCATCATGTGCCCTCTGCTTTAGATTAATTTAAAGATTATGAAGTGCCATACATTTGCACAGCGGGGGAGTGCCAAGGCAGAAAAGAAATCACAAATGGTACAGCTGCCTTCAAAGTTCTGAATACATGGCACATCTCAGTTTGTTCATGCCTGTATGTTGCGTTTCTTCTTCTGCCCGGCGATGCATGAAAGCTTTTCACTGAATCAAATCAACAGCCTGAGATAATTCAATGTGACAGTGTAGCAATTGTGTTAGTGTGATTTTATGTGGAGGTATTTCTATTATTCACATGTAACTGGCGAAGGCCGCGGCAGACGCATTTTGTGAAAGTTCAGGACCGATCCGGCACTGATGTGGAGAAATAAATGAGGTCAAATCAAATATCGCTTCCCCTCTGCCTGCAGGTAGTGGCTGCACATCTCTGCCCAGGTGCCTTCAGTAGTTGCGTGATTCATTTCAAACTGGCAGCCCATTTTAAATATGCAGTCTACATGCCACATCTCCCCTACACAACCAATCTATCAAGCCTAACCCGGCAGTATGTGCATATACTCCCATATCACAGAGAAGGCTGGAAAGCAACTGTCATAGATGGCATGATTGAATTGTTCCCTTGCACTGTCACCAGAGGGGCTATTACTTCAAATTAGCATACAAATTCAAACCAGGACAGATGGATTTGTCACATTCCAGTCATCATCTTCCTGGAAGATTGGCTGTGCTTGCGCTGTGCGATGGAGATAAGACACCTGTCTCTGCTCCGATTGGCGGTGGCCCCGGTGGGGGGGGAAAGGGCCGGCGTGGGATTGGAGGAGGACTGGGTGGGTGGATGGATTTCCTGAAATGCTGAGGTGATCTGCAATAAACTTCCCTACCCACGGTCTCAAATGATGATGAGGCACCATCCAGGACTCTGTGGGTGGGAGGAGATTGAGCTGCAGCGAGCCGGTGATTCACACTGTTTGGAAACATGCTCAACAATAGCTGTCTGCTGTTTGTTTGTGTTTGCTACTTCCGGTGAGTTACTGTCAAAGAGCCACATAAAATGCCCCTTACATCAGCAGAGGGTGCAGGGGCGGGTGTGCGACAATATACAGCACACTCCTGTGAGGCTCAGCTCTGCACAGCCTTGACCTCAAGTTCCTTTTTGGGTTTTAATAGCTAAGCAATCCAAATAAATACATGCAATTTATTAAACCTCATTCCAATTCTGTCAACATTCAATTTTTTAATAAGATTTTATAATTCTTCTGTATGAACATCTAGCTCCAGACAGACATGGTTACACGCTGCACGCACCCGTCATGTAGCCTCACATCGGACACTAACAAAATACAACTCGGAGACATAACGATTTTCATTTGTAATTATGGCAGCGTGAATCAATGGGAAGTATTGAGCATGAAAAACTGTTCTTACCTCAGGATCAATTCCATATAATTTCCACATCAGCTCAAACTAATGGGTTTTCTATTGGCTTCACTTTGGAGGGAGACTAATCTCTCTGGCACCATTTTGTGGTCCTCACTACATTCCCCAGCAAAAAGCCATCCACTTAAAAAGTTGTCTCCCAACAGTCCAAAAAATATTAACACATGCTAATTTCCTGACCTAGCATATTACACAATCTGCAGGCTTAATTTAAAACTCCCTCAGCAGGTCCAGTATCTCTGCCTGCCTACTTCCAGACACTACAGAGATTGTGAAAAACGCTTACCGGTTCGTTTTTGCCTCTGTCCTCATTGTGATGTATATTTTGCTTACAATTGATGTAACATTGAGATGCAAAACAGAGGAAAGCAAGGCTATACTTGGGGAAAAAGGGAGCTGGTTATATAAATTACTTGTTAGATACGATTTAAGAGAGCCCTGAAAAATTGGACATTTGCTTTGCATTAGCTATTGTGCTGAGACAGGGTATAGATTAAACTTAGGTGACTGCTTTGTTATACGTCCAGCTCCTCTACACAGAACTGCTAGAGATGAACAAGTAGAGCAATTAAAAGGTGTTTTACAGGCAAACACTTCATATGCTAAGACCGGCCACTTGCATAGTGCAACCAGCATAAGGGGGATTGGACGAGGTTGATCGTTACGTGCATCTCAGGGATGGAGAATAACCTGAGCACTGGGGAGGGACACCCTGCATCTTCAGAGACTTCTCTGCCACCTGCAGGCAGCTGTTGACCCATAGAACAAGAAGAAAGCTCTGGCAGCAGAGTTTGTTCCTTTTCCTTGTGGCTAACATATTCTTAAGAGCTCGGTGATGATGCACCGTACATTTAGGCTGATAAGACAGTAGTGAGTGACGTAACTGTGCTACAAATGACTAAACGGTTTAAGTTGTGTTACTCACTAGCTGGTTACGTTTTAGTTCAGTGCAGTGCTAAGAATTCACGCTTTACCTTCCACATTAAGCAGGCGCTGACAGAGAAGGACAGCCAGAACAGGCTTCGGCACAGCAGGGATTTCACACTGCTCTTGTTCCAAAACATTTGTAATTAACATTGGCCCTCACTCCAACTGTTTCTGAAGATATCAATATCCCAGTAAGAAAACTCCACTTCCCTGAAGAGAAAGGAAACGAGCTGAATGTGGAAGCTTACAATGGGATTGCTCAGTGCGCATGTGTGAGGGAGTCATGCTCAGATTATCCCGTTATCTTAATTCTGCTACCAGAAAAATGTTCTTTCATTACAAAGTCATTTTATTATGTTGAAAAGTTGAAATACAAGCCCCTCTCAGTCGCACTATGACATGTTACAGTAAAGCTTCTCTACGTGGACTAATGCCGTTTCATTTCCACAGCTTAGTATTATTAGTATTGATGCTTTTAAGAGGAATGAACTTGACATAAAACATCATGCCACAGACTGAGAGGGTTAACAGCTAATTGCTGATTACTGGTCAGTCAGTCCGTTTTTAGTGCTGCATCAATGACAATGACATAACGAAGCCCTCAAAGTAACAGGGCCCAATTCAGGAACCATTATGAAAATACAGTGAACACGGTGAGACAAAAATATCATTTAAAATGAAGAGTTAGTGGACATAGAAAATATAGTACCGATGGTACTTTGTACAAATAGCGTGGCTGCTGCTGCAGCACACATGCAGACCGTCTTAGTACTGAGTGTATTCCTTGGATGAGAGTTTTGCAATGATACGCTCCAGCTGCCTCTTTGCTTCACACTGGGGGAAGTTACTCATCTCATAGTACTGTGGGGCAATTTTCACCAGCCTAGGAAAGAAAGCATGTAAACATTAGTCACAAAAATTGTCTTCAGTGTTTACCTGTGGGAGAATGCTGTTCTTCCATATTCACACGGTGATTACTGGTGCAGGCACAGTAAATGTGATATGTAATAGTATGAGGTCACAGAGGGTGAAGAGAGGCGCAGGCAGCAGGACTGTCACAGTACAAGTGTGTGTGCACAGCCCCACACGGCTGAGGCCCATCATTTTTTTTTTTTTTGGTTTGGTTGTGTTTAGAGCTGAAAAGACCATCAACAAGAAATGAACTGGAAACCATTTTGATAACTGATTATTTGAGTGACTGTTTCAAGCAGAAATGCTAAATGTTGGAGGTTACAGACTCTCATATTATTTTTATGGTCTATGGACATCTTTGGGTTCTAGACTGCTGGTCAGACACGGGCTCTGGGAACATGGATGGGCCTTTTCCACTTTAGTGGAAGGCAAAACGCTCTAAACTTTACTTCTTCAGTGCTACGCAAACAGGCCACATCCAGCGCCAAAGTGATAAAACTGCTGCAGAGGGCTGATGCGTCCTAACACCAACAAATAGGAGAGACGTTTCCTGATGTATTAAACTGAGACAGGTTTACACAGAAAACAGCAGGTGTAGGGGTCGACGTGTATCATAGGCTTCTGATGTGCGTTGCCCTTTAGGGTGTTTGTATTCATCCTGAGCGAATGTGTATGCCACAGGCTGGGCTGCACTGAATTACTGTTATTTGTCAGGACTTTCCAGTTGAACCGATGTGTGGAAACACCCACAGAAACACACACACAGACAATTCAAAACAAAAACACGCGTCTTTGAAGCTATGTTTAAAAAAAAAAAGTTTCTCAACAAATGCACAAAAATCCAGGGAATTAAAATGACAAGACATGATTCCAGTTCATTTCATTCATGTCCACTATAAAGGTGCATAAAATGGTAAATTAAATCAGAGTAAATAAAAATAAACTTAAAAAATTTAAAATAAAAAGGTAAATAAAACTCAGGTAAAGCTTGAAAGAAATATTTGCTTTACTTCTGCCTTCTCAAATAAAATGTGGCTTTAAAAAACATTCCAGCCCTATTAAATATGTAGCTGCAGCTGAAACGTACCACTCTGGCTTGATGTCCGTGCACGTGCGGATGTAATTTTTGGTGGTGAGCACAAACTCGTTGTAGAGCACCCACTCAGGCTTGTGGTCCAGCACGGTGGAGGGGTGCAGCTGTACGACTTGGTTGTCCTTCACCGTCAGGTAATGGCCGGTGCGCTCCAGGTGAGCGATCTGTGCACACAGCA